CACGAGCTCGCTTTACGCATATTACTACAACCATGCAGTCCCCCCTAACCGCGTCTACCTATGTTGCGGGATGAAAAAAAAAAAAAAAAAAAAACGCAATCATGCGAAAGAGAAACGAGCTTTTAAGAGCTATCGCGATCCAACCAAAGTATAAGTACACAAGAAAGGGAAAAGTATTGAATGTAAGTTAGACGCGGGGCCTAAAATTCGAGTTAAAAGTACACCCGCGTACTTACAGTATACTATATACGATATAATAATATGCACGAGAACCCCTATATTATAAACAAACACACACGTGGAATAAACGCGAGCGAGCGAAAAAACAAAAGAGAAGAAAATTACTCGTATCTTGGGAACAATCGGCGGACAAATTGCGGGGCATCCAGTGACTCCGCGCGTCGATTCATACGTACAATACCCCCTCCCTCCCTGCACGAAGAGAGACCCCATAATATGCGTCTAGGCGTATATATTTATATATTCTTGGGGGAGATCAATGATGCGTCATATATGTACACATATATATATACATAAGGGGTATATAACTCGCTCGTCGCTGTCGTACGTCTGTCGTCGCGGTGGACGCACATGCGCGCGCTGAAATACACACACACATTTAACCGTCGTCCTTTTTTCTACCTTCACCTCCCACGCCTAACGGTTAAGGATAATACGTACTATATCCGTCGAGCGTTTTTTTTTTTTTTTTTGCCGCGGCTCGAGAGACGAGTTTTGTATTTTTAGATTCCCAAAGACCGAGAGCGGGAGAAGAGCAAAAGCGCGGGCTGTATATACCGCGTATCCTGTATTATACATATATGTATATATATATTACATACCCTCTAAGCTCGTCTTTTTGTGCTTGGCGATAGTCGTACAATACTTACATATACAAAAGGTAGTCCTTCTTTCTTCCTCTTTGACGCGAGAAAAAGCTCCTATGTATCCGCTGACGCGAAAGCTCGACCTGTACGAGCTTAACAAGAAAAAACTCACCCGTGAAGCAGCTGATACGCTGTCGCGCGCCTTTTGCGGGTACTATACCGATCTGGCGCTATTAAAAGAAAGCATTCGTGTAAATGTATATATATATACATCGTAACTCAATACAAGGGCATGGCAGTGCAGAGCATTTTTACGCGGAGTTTCGTGTTTTTTTCTCTCTGCCGACGGTACGCAGTGCGCATGGGGAGGGGGGGGGGGAGAAAGAAAAGCTCTTTGCGCTGGATCACCAAGTGTACATATACACGTACTGCCCGCACTCGAGCAGCGAGAGATATCGCAGCAGAGGGATGTACGAAAATAATCCGTTCGATAATCCAGAGGGACACGCTTTTCTTCTAGTTTCATTTGTCGTGAAGACATACATATACACTTGGACCTGCACGAAGGAGCCTGTCTAAATATAAGCTGTATACCGTGCCCGCGGAGGACGTACCAATCGATCGCGGTGCGCCTACTTGAGTGACGTTCGCGTTTATTATTTATGGGGGGGGGGGATTGTTAAATCGAGCTGAAGGGGTCGGTGACCCATCTGGGGGCAGGATACGCGGCGCTTCGTTGTTTTATCTCTTCAGCGTGTTTTCATCGTCACGATCGTCTTACTCGTTTGTTTTGATCTTTGTGTGTATTTTTTTTTTCATCTAAATGTATGGGTACACATCCGTGTGGTACGGAAATTTTTAACTGACCATTCGACAAATTTATACTATTGAATGTAAGTTTAATACATACACATTTATTTCTGGCCTCCCGTTGGCGGTCCAAAAAGCATTAGTGGTACAAGTCCCCGTGGGAAATACCGCCCAAATGCCTCGGATTTTCACTTCCTATACCCGAAATGAATATTAGTAAGTACATATGCACACACGTATATGAGCTGCAGTCGAGAAAATCCCTTTTTAAATGTACTGTATTTATATATATATATGCTGGAACCTAATATACCTTTACAAGTAGGTACAGTAAGCCGCGATAATACCTTTGGTACACATCGCGCGTGACATGTAGAAAAACAAATAGGGACACGGGATTAGCGAGACATTGTGCTATTGTGAGGGGTAAGGTGATCCATACCACTGGAAATACCACATCGAAAAATATGTATTGTACTTGTGCCAACTTTCAACACCATCTCACCGATCTCCAGAATCATTGATGATAAGTATCGAATTGGGCACGTGCAGAGTTCATTTTTAAGTCCCCGATGTATTGTGCAGACAACGCGCACGTGCTCGACCTTCCACGCATAATCCACAGCCTCTCTCTTTCGGCTCTACTCGGGACGTACAGCTCGGCTCGAAAAATTCCCCCGCTTCGAGTCATCGCACCTCCTCTCCCCTCTCGATTCTTGGAACCCTCCCCCCATTCTTTTCGTTCGCGTACGTCCAAGAAAATCCACATTAAACAGCCGGTTTCTCGGGCTACCTATATTTAAAACAGATACTCACACGCGTACACCATTAATGTACATCCATACACAAAAATACGAGTATTGGTACTTACTTACTTTCAGGACACAGTCCGTGCATTCATCGCCGCGGCTCGTGTGGTATACTCTTACGCGTGTGTGTTATACATACTTAGTATATGAATAAGTACGTAATTCGACCGACAAGTAAGTAAGTATCGAGTTACGGAGTTCGCAAGATAAGGAGCCGCCGTGTCCGAGTCCTCGCTCTCGATCAAAGGGAGTGTTTCGGTCGGAATTACGCGAACGATGAATCGAGGCAATTTAAAGGGTCGTTACTCGCTATAATTTAGATCACCCGGGTGATTTTGGCGCTTTTTTTTCCTCCTTCTTCTTCTTCTTCTTCTCTGCCTCGCCGATACGAATATCCATGATGTACCTATTCAGTGACGAGGATGATGTAAAGAGAAATCGGGAATATCGAGCTGAAGGAGGAGTTTTGTGTGCGTATGTTTAATCTCTCGCGTATACTTTGAATCAAGCATATCATATTATAATGTAATGTATATATACCTACATGAACAAAAAAAAACACACGACGTCTCAAAAGAGAGATCCCCAGTGTCGTGTCGCGCGTGGGTTGCTCCTTTTTGCGAAAAATTCCCTTATACTTCCTTGGCTCATGTTACATCGCAGCCACCATATATATATATAATATGTGAGGAGAGAAAAGGGTCTCGCGCGCATATAGGTATATAGGTACTTTATGCGTTTACGAAGACGCTTGTGCCACGTAAACTGCGCCACGAGCGTAGGGAGATTTTTCTTTTCAAGAGCATCCATTTGTAAAATGGTCGTGCATGAATCGGGTGCGTGGGAGGAATGGGATGGGAGCCCGCGAACCGGTAAATCTCATTATTCGCGTATATATGTGTATGCATAGCTGAAGATCTACTGTTATATTATCAATGAGCGAGCAACGCGTATTTGGATACGTGTGTAGGTCCAGAGTCTCTTATTTGTTGAAAAATTGAGCTGGAAGGGCGGAGGAGATGATAATAATCGGAGAGCCGGGGGGTAATTGAAAAACACGAGGACAAAGGATGACGGAGTTTGGCAAGGTGCCTACACTTACAAATAAGCCGGCCACTGCCGCCGACGATATGAAAAATGTGTGTATACACATAGGTACAGCGAAATGGCTGATGCTCTTCGTGCGAAAGAAGAATCAGCTCGTCTGGTTTTGCCACGTATATAATATATATATATACCTTTGGATCTTTCTCGTCTTGGCCATTATCCCATATTTCCCCTATCCCTGGCCGGGCGAAAATATACACTCGTACCGTAGGTATATTATATACATCTGCACTTGAAAAGTCTCAATGGACGGTCAGGGATGATATGCACGGAACTTTCAAAACCACATCGCCTATATAATATGCTTTACCTATACCCAGCCGAAAGAGCACGCAGACGTGAGATTCTCTTTCTCTTCTTTCTTCTCCGGGCATGCACACTGTGTGTGTGTGTACGTTTCATTGTGACGGCCCACGCGATGCGCTCTTGCTCTGCTTTATTGTATATTATAAAATAAGCGAGAGCGCGTCCATGTTTATGTATGTATGCAAAATGCAAAGCCGTGTGCAACGCTTCGGGACAATCGGGAGTATGATGGAAGGGAATAAAAATGCTGTGCACGTAATTTTTTTTTTTTTTCTCTATTCCAAGCTGTATATATACCTACGTCGCGTCGAGAGAAAGTGTCGTCGCTGTGTACGAAGGAAAAGTCTGGTTTTTCGCTCGTGATGATATTTCAGTAGTAGGTACAGTTTCCGACGCCGACGTGATGGGCTTCCTTTGAAAAATGAGATTCTGTCGCCCAGGGGCTTTTTGTTGGATGAAAAATAAAGGGGGTCAACACACCTCGTACAAAAAAGAATCATAGCGCCTTCGACTATTTTGCTCATCCAATGTATATAGTAAATGATATAATTGCTCGATTGTATTTTATTTTCCTTTCTTTCCGGTTGACGTTGTCGTTAGGGTCTCCCAAGTATATATTTTTAATATGCATTTCATTTAGCGTGTTTGTTTACAGCCATACGGGGAACACGTCGAGCATTGCGTTACCTCGGGCATCATCGTCAGCAGATGTATATACATATATATATATATTTTATAAATACAATTATCGCCCAATAAGTACAAAACGACAAAAACACACACACGCCTGCTCCGTTATCATCGCGCATTCGATGCTAAAATCATATTTTGAAAGACCACACTTCTTTTCCGCCTCACACGGATACACACGCATTGACGTGTGTACGTTTTTTATCGCTCTTCTTGGGTCTTTGGGTGATCTTGAAATTATCATGAATAATATTGAGGCAAAAAATTTAATACTTATGCACATAGTACAGTTACACCCTTGCGTAATAATTATATACCACAAAGGGATATATTGTTCTTCCTTGTCGAGCGTCACTCGAAAATTCAATGTGTATTATATATTAGCCATACATGCATGCATACATGTGTACAAGTAAGTAATGTAACCTTCTCCGGTTTCTTGTGTGCGCAGGAGGATGACGCGAAGCCAAACGAGACCGATGGCGACGCTCCGGCCAAGGACGGGGACAACGGGGTAGCTACCGACAAGGCAGCCTCGACCCCGGCCAAGGAGCCGAAGGAAAAGGAGGCCCGCAGAGGCATCATCCAGGCCATCCGGCTCCCGCTGTCCAACGTATCGAGCGTCTTCTCGAGGAAGAAGAAGGTAAATATACTCCATCTCTGGATACCCCCCTCCCCCTTCGGTCCTTCCGGGTTATATACCTGTATACCTGCGATGCACTCACTGGGAATGAGAGGAATGCCCCCGAGAACGTCTCCCCCCCCCTTATTTTCTCTCTCCCGGGAAAAGGGTTTTCATTTTCCTTCGTTCCCCTTTACCGTACCAGGATCGCCCCTTTCGTTTGACTTTTTCGCTCCGAGTAAACATATTTATGCTTGAACTTTTTGTTTTTTTTTTTACGAATAATTACGCCTAAAACGAAACGGTATCGCTAAATGGCAAACAATTTGGGATCGCAGCAGGTATAAATATATATGTAATTATCGCGTTATGAACAACTCTCGCAACTACGTGCAAAGGCGAGCCGGAGGAAAGTTGAGTCGAGAGAGTATAAATTCCAAGATTAGCCGTAAAAGTTTTTATTGGCTTTTTAATCATGCGCCTCCGTGCGCCTCGGCGCGGCGGGGCACTTATGAATCCATAACTCGGGCCGATCGGGTCAATTTACGGCGCGAATAAATTTTTGCCCCACATCCCACTGCTACGTATAGGTGCTTTTTTTTTTTTTTTTCTTTTGCCAACCATACCAGCCGGTTGGTAGCGTATTTAATGTATATATATATTGGTACTTTTCCCCAAAGTTATCTCTAGTTTGGGGCCTCGTAAGAAAGTGCACCGTGTCCATCCCCTTCGCGATTAATATTTGTGTCGATTCAACTGTTTGCGACGAGGATCGAGCAAACTTTTTTTCTCCTATTTGGCTGTAGCTGCGAGAAAAATATCTTACTTTTCGACTCTTGGTTGTACTTAGAGGTATTATAATTCACCGAGAGGGTAAAGTAACGTCACACCGTAAACTGAGCGTCCTTTTGTGACAATCAGAGCTTGAAATAAGTATGGACTATAAATGTATTATACTTAACTCGCTCGTTAACCGAAAAATGTATATACTTTATGCGCGAGAAACGTGAAAAACCAGACCGACGTGTTTTTTTTTTCTTTCCTTTTCTTTTTCACGGTGCAGGTCTTGCTTTCGCGCGCGTGTCCACAGCGTGTACGGGATGTGTACGGGAGGAGAAAAAAGCGAGAAGAAACCCTACCGATGACCTCTCGGGCACGTATACCCTCGTTTTTTTTTTTTTTTCTTCCCTCTCGCGAAACTTTCCCTCCCTCCCTCGTCTAATTTATCTCCATGGTTCCCTCTTCCTCGTTCAAGAGAGTGAGAAGGATAGATATTATACGGGGCACACGAGAAAAAAAAGGGAGAAAGTCAAAAGAAGCAGCAGCTGATGCCGAGAGCCATCACGTATATACATATAGGGCTCTTTCTCTTTTGCGCGCGCGCGCATCAGCCCTCAGCTTTCATGTACCTATACACACACAGTTAAATTTTCGGTGTGCTCGTGAGAGGGAGGACAGAGAAAGAGAGAGAGAGAGGACTCCGGCTTTTCTGCACAGGTGTGCGATTACACACCTGTGCGCTTCGCAGCAACGAGGAGACGACGAGAGCAGTCACAGCGGAGCAAGAGGCTTTCGGTGGCTCGTGTTGCGCGCCAGTTCTTCCGTGTCGTTTCAACGCTCGAGTCGTCGAGTTCGCGTGTGTTTCAGCCTTTGGTTGCTGCTTCGTTTTACATATATACATCGAGGTGAGGTAATACCTCTCTCGCGTATACCCCCTCGATTGGACACGATCTCTCTCTGTTGCTAGCCGCTGAGACGCTCATTTTTCGCGCGTGAATTTATACTTGTGCAGGTATACTTTATTACAACTGTATAGGAATTATTAATTTGATTCTCTTGTCTGTGGAGGGACACTGTCGGTCGAGACTCCATTGCTTGTTGGGTGCCGATTTTCAGAATAAGTATAGTCTCTCGCCACTGTGCGCCTATGATTCTTCATCATCGTTTTTGTTTTTCACACGAGAGTCCAACCCAATTTTCCGAGACTGAAGTCGTGGGCAACTATCGATCAAGTTTTCGTACACCTTTCTTTCCCCCCCCCCCTTTTCAAAAGAAACCATAAGAATCGTTAAAGGTGCATGTACAACCCCGCAGGTGCGCGTGTGTGTGCTATCGGGCCGGAAGTGGCGGAGAGAAGCACCGTTCTCGACGGTAACCGACATTTCGCGCTCTTTGTCGCCTATTTTGCTCCCTTGTAACATAATAGTACCTACGTACTTATACGTTAATTTCAACGTGGACCCTTTTTTTTCTTCATTTCTTCAAAAGTCATCTCGCACAATAGCTATACTCATCTGCAGCTGCGTGAGAATAAAAAAAAAACAACACGAGTTGAATACGCAACAACAGCCACAATGTATTTTCCTCGAAAGCAAATTACTGCAGCTGTATAATTGTATGCTGGGTGTGATTCGTGGGAAAAAGAAAAGTTGTTTGCGGATTTAATCTGATTGCATATTATACCTATAAGAGTATAAAACAAACCATTTCCACGCATCGCTATGATACCATTGCGATAGAGGGACATTGTTGTTGGAAAATCGACCTAGTATAACTTAATTAAAATTGCGTATGTTTTGCTATGTTTAACACAGGAGGCGGACGCCGAGTTGGGAACGACCGGAGCTGCCGGTCTGGCCAGCGTCGAAACGCTGGACGACGCAACGCAGGAGAAAAATAATGCGGCCACTGAGGAAGACGCAATGGACTCTGTGCGCCTAGACGCGGAAGCCGGCGACGCGCCGACCAAGCCGTTATACTACGTCACCATCATTCAGGCCATCAGGCGAAACCTCTCCTACTGTGGTAAGCGAACCGTGTCTTAATACTCTGGTCACGAGATGCGTGTATTATACTTTTACAACACCTTTTTTTATTACCATTAAACCTACCGTGCATGACCTATACTGATGATGATGATGTTGCACGCACCGTCTCGTGATCAACAATAACAACAATAATAATGATTATGTGGGTCGCGTTGTGTGTAACAATGCTGCATCCGACGTTTCGATCCGATAACAAGCACACATACCTATTACACAGAAACTCCGAGATCTAACGTCACGAATCTTTTCAGCCGCAGCACTGGTGATCCTCTTGGCCTTTGTGATCATAATAACTATCGCTTGTGCTGGACCGAGACGCGAGCCGCCTTCACCGGTTCGTGACGACAAAGTCATCAGCCAAGCGTCATGCGGTCCTGTCGAGGGTCTCGTCGAGGAGGACGCGCACGTCTTCCGTGGCATACCCTACGCGATTCCTCCGCTGGGCGAGCGCCGTTGGCAACACTCCGAGCTGATAAACAAGCTTGAGAACTGTTGGAACGGCACCTACCTCGCCCACAATGCGTCCAACGTTTGCTGGCAGCGCAACCGCGCCAACAACACCATCTACGGGAGCGAGGACTGCCTCTACCTTGACGTATTCACGCCCGAGGTCAGGTTTGAGAACCCCATGCCGGTCGTCGTACTCATTGGCGCCGATACACTTAGCGGGCCATCGCCTGGTATTATGCTGCCATCCGGCAAGCTCGCTCACGTCAAGGAGGTCGTCTTCGTCAGGCCCAACTTCCGGTGAGTCGCCGTGATGCTCTCTATTTCTCTAGCTTTCAAATCTGGCGAGTATTTTTTTTTTCATGCTAACGCCTCTCGCATCGTTATTACAGACTGGACGTGTTGGGCTTCCTCGCGGCAAAGCCGCTGTCCGTTGCAGCCCTCAAACCGAGCTCCGGCAACTACGGCCTTTCTGACATCATCAATGTTCTCAAGTGGGTCCAATTGAACATAGAGTACTTTGGAGGTAGCAAGGACCTTGTGACCGTCTGGGGACACCGGGCTGGCGGTACCCTTGTAACTGCTCTACTGGCCTCTCCTCGTGCCAAGGGTCTCTTTTCCCAGGCCTGGATCTCCAGCGGCAGTGGCCAATTCCCCAACGAAGATCTCAAAACGTCCGAGGAAATGAGTAAGGAGTTCCTTGAACGCACCAGGTGCTCCAACGCCGACTGCTTGAGAAACAAGAGGGTCGAGGATATTATGAACAGTGTACCACTCGCGTGGTATGCGGTCAACGACGGACTGCCCGAAAAAAGGGAGGACACCTTGAAGAAACACAAGTGGCTTGTCAAGGATGGTATCTTCATTAGGCAGCACATCGGTGAGGTTCTTCGGAATCAGGATACTCTGCCCATTAAGATTGTCATGGGTACCACTGCATACTCCGGAAGATTACCAGAAGCTGTCAGCAGAGACAACTTTGATTTGACCAAGGAACAGGTCAAACAGTACCTCACAAACTCTCTGTTAGGTGAAAAAAATGTTGTCGACGAAGCTATGCAGTGAGTTTTCCTACATATATTTTTAAATGCCTTTTTTTTTGGTTATAGAAACAAAAAATTACAAACTTTTTTTTGTTTACAGGACATACTTTGATAACTCGACATTAAAGAAGACACCAAAAGAGACACTGCACATGATGATCTCGGACGTGAGGGTGGTCTGTCCGTTGATGTTACTCGCCAAGATAAGAACCGACGTTCCCTTCTACATCTCGAACTTCACGAACAACGTCAATCTCACGGTGGATAGCGATGCGGGGGCCATTCTTGGATTCTTCCCCAATGTAACGCCTCAGCAAAAAAGGCACTTGCAAGCGATTCAGGCCCTCTTTTTCCACTTTGTCGGAAACAGAGAGATTCCGCAAGCCAACAACGCAAATAGGATCCTCACCATCGATCAGGACGTCAACGCGCAAGTTGACTACGAAAACTGTAACCTCTGGATCAAAAAAGATTTATCACCGTTCTACGCGAGGGTGGATTAAGGTAGCTGACTGAAGCTCGTTGATCGACTCTTTCTATACACAAAAGAAGACATTTTCAAGTCTGAAAAATACATGAGATTGTCAGATCAAATGAAAAACAAATAAAGAAGATAAAGAGGTCTTTGATAGCGCCATGAGGTATTCTTTGTCTGACTGCTTTTAAACATTTTTTGAAGATTTTAAAAGTTGTTAATAATTTTGTCGTCTCATTTGTTATTAACGACCGATCCAATAATAACTTTCTCTAATGGTTGTTTTGACCATATACTTAGGTTATTCAACATCAAAACTCATTCATAAACTATTTCGTTGTATATGCCATAAAACATTCTAATTTTTTTATTTTTAACGTTCGCGAAATAATTTGACGAAAAAAGTATTGTATTCGTACTATATTCATTGATTAGAGTTTTGTAAAGTTTTTATGGTATTTTTAACCAATTTTTTTTTATTTTATTTTTTTTATTTACTAACGTCTTTTGTGAATAGTTTTAACGTGATTTGCGATTATATGTCGATACTTTTTTTCTCAATCATCGCAGATTCAGGACAAATTGTTAAGATTAGAAATTATCTTATTTAATGAATCCAATATGCATATGAGTGTAAACTTGTGCGTACAGATAATTTTCGTATGCAACATAGCTGAATATGCGATTAAAAAAAAACGTATTAACTATATGTATGTTTATAAATGTGAATCAAATGTAATATATTGTGAGGAGGGTAATAAAGTACGATTGACATATATGCACATATTGATTTATATACATGGCATATAAATTTATTTGTGCATATGTGTGTTGAAGCAAAGATAAAATAGAGACAAAAATTAATGCTGGAGAAAGATGGATAATAATGTTTAGTTTAGATAAAAAAGAAAACGAACAATGCAGTTAATGCATATTTAATTATAATAAGATGCAACTCGTATGCGATGCAGCAACTAAGAAGTGTGCAAAATATCTCCTTGTTGCTCATGATTTGTACGAGCTTGCTTTAGGTATAAGGTAGTATTTAAGTTTATAAAAATGTAATTCGTTGGCGTTTATTAAGTCGTCATGCTTCAGCACGTAACTAGAAAAAAAAATTTTTGGATTTTAAAAAAGCACTTAACCGAGGAATATGCGAATGAATCTCTATTGGATCACTTCTGCGGAATACATTTTTTTACCGTTTGTACCGAAGGTTATAAGATTTTTCTACTTGCCAAATATTAACTATTTAAGGAAGTTAAGTCCCATAAAGTTAAATGGGAAATTTTGTAGACTGCTACCTTATTTTAACTGCATAGACACGAAGTACGCGTGCTTTTCCAAAGCAAACTAAGCCTTTGTATGATCATGCAGTTTAAAAATGAACAGTAAAGTATTACATAGTAAAAATCTTTACTGAAAGGAAGACTCCTTGTAGTATTTTTCCACTTGATAAAATGAAAAAAAATTATGAAACAATTAATCAATCAATCAATGTTTTGACAATGTAAAAAAAATTATAAACAAAAGAATAAGCCACCAACGCCTTTTATCCGCAGCTGTGATCCAAAATGCGTCAAGTGTCACACTATTCCATTACTCTGTTGTCAAATAATGTTTTTAAAACCTTTACCGCTTCTTACATCGCTGATTAAATTTAATTTATTACTTTCACACCAATGTGATAAATTAGTATTTATGACGGGAGACTGTCTTCTATATAGACTTATTATTGTATCGATGTAGACTTTTTTTTGTACCACATTTATTTTTTAATCTTTATTACAAGTAATTACTTTTTTTTTTTTTTTTTTTTTTTTTTCCTAGATGTTACATGTAATCTGTTAACATGTAAAAGTAAAATGTTTGCAATATCAACGACCAAGTGTTTTTTGTGACTATAAGTACAACCGTACTGCGGAAATATAAAATTATAAAATTTCAAATGCTAATAAATCGCGACATGTCGATAAGTGATTTATTGTATTAACATAGTGTCAATAAAAATAATTAGCCTTACATTAACTTGTTCATGTAAACTTAATTGTATTACTTGTTACTCGTGATCCAACCATCATTAAAACCCACTTTCCTTGAGATAATTTCGTTGTTCATCAAATAGGTATGGGTACGTTTGTAATCTTAATTTTTTTTCATTCTATGAAACAACAGTACGTCGATTCGAACTGTCAGAAAAATTTTTTTACCTCAGACAATAAAGAAAAGTGCGTGTACCTGTTATGTGTTTTGATCATTCTCTCATTTTAAGGAAAACTGAAACTGCCAAGAACTTACAAGGACTTGACTTGCAGGCTTTTACAGATAATGCCCTTTCGAGAGTGGAGTGTCCCGATCGGAAAGCTTATAAGCGGGGGTCTAGCTTGTGCCTATAGGTATACCTATTAGGCAGCCTGGCTAGCCTAGCGAATCTCTCTCACTCTCATGTGATGGGCTCAAATGGTTGCGGCCTTACGCGTACGTCACGGTACGTGTCTCTTTTGCGCCATTCGTTGCGGATTAAGCTATTTTCTAGGGAAACCGTCTTGAAAAAAAACCCCTAGATTTGAGAGTTTTCCGACAGAAGTAAATCACTAGGCATAAGTAGTAGATCAAAAATCGTGGACCTGCAGGATTTAATTGCGTGCTTCGATGTGATACGCAATACGGTTTGACATTGATGGTCACATCGTCATATGTCACACCTTCGGAAGCGATGCCAAAAGGTGACCTTCCCTACGTACTTAACACATAATAAAATTTGACGAAAATTTGAAAATGTCACAAAAACAAATGTTCCCCGCGCAAGCCTTGCGTTAGTCATGCACTAGCTCCCACTAGAGTTTTAGGGGTACTTTTTAACTTAAAATCAGCCACGCGAGATGGCGCTGATTGTGAACTTAACGATTAATGGCCGTTAATTAAAATTAAGGAAACGCATCAGTGTTGGCGACTTGGCGAACTACGATACTACACGATAACACGATACGTTACTTATCTCTGACGTTACGTTTCGTACGTTTCAACGGTTTAACCGTATCTTGTCAGCGCCCTCTTTCAAAGGAGGTTAAGCCAATCCCTATTGAGTATGAGTTTGAGTTTGCGAGATTCAAAACTTTTAACGGAAAAAACTGCAAGGTAAGGTTATTATAAAAAAAAACCGGCGACAAATGAGCACAACACAAAGTAGAGGGAACGTGTACTTATAAGATTATACGTATATGTCTATATAGTAAGTATCTTGTTTATAGTTGTTTGAAGCTCGGCATCGACGTCGTCATCGGGTTACTGGTTATACAGTGCTCGTATCGCGTTACTTTTTCGTTACATGTTTACGTGCTATGGCGCAATCAGCTTTCTCAGGCGAAATCAGTAACCAAAGAAAATGTGATTGTGTCGCGAGTATCTCGTGAACAAAGTCATTACCTTATCAAGTACACCTGCACGCACGGGAGTAGAGCGTGTGTACAAAGACGAGGGTACGAGACGGTACACACGCACCTAAGCTTTCACGTTCGATATGCAGGACAGCATCCAGGTAGCGATTAAGGTCCGTCCGCTCATCAAGCGGGAGATAGACGATAATCTCAAGAGCCAGTGGACCGTCGTCGACAAAGTCATCGCGCCCGTGGACCCGGAGATCAAGCGCGGGGACTGCAGCTTTCAGTTTGGTGAGTACATACTTTCACACTTACTTTCGAGGTATCATCGTGGTTTTATAGCCTCTCATTTTGCTCTGTTTCTTCGTCCTCCGTTTCCAGATCACATATTCGACCCCAAGAAGACAAACGTCGATGTTTTTGAAACAGTCGTCAGGCCAATCGTCGACGCCGCGGTCAAGGGCTTCAATGGCACCGTTTTCGCGTATGGACAGACTAGTTCTGGAAAAACGCACACAATGTTGGGCACCCTCGACGAGCCCGGGGTGACTCCTCTGGCTATCGATCGGATGTTCGACGCCATCACCGAGACATGTGGCCGGGAGTTTCTCCTTCGAGTCTCCTATCTGGAGATCTACAACGAAAAGGTCAACGATCTGCTTGATACCAGTGGCATGGATCTCAAGCTTAGAGAGGACAACAACGGCCTGGTCCAGGTGCTCAAGTCCAAAGAGGAAATTGCCAGTAGTCCAGATCTCATAATGTCCATCATGAAAAAGGGCGACAAAAATCGCAGGATTGGCGAGACAAACATGAACGAGAGGAGCAGTAGGAGTCATACGATATTCAGGTCGTATAGTGTTCTTTTTGTGGATATGAGTTTTACGATATTCATGTTCGGGAATTATAACTGTTTTTTTAATCATATTTTAGGATAACTATCGAGAGTAGGGATCAGAGTAGTGACTCTGATGGAGCTATTCAGGTTTCTCAGTTGAATTTGGTAGATCTCGCAGGTTCCGAGCGGGCAAGTCAGACAAATGCAACTGGTGAAAGATTCAAAGAGGGTACTCACATTAACATGTCGCTATCGACTCTTGGACTTGTGATAAAACAACTCAGTGAATCTTCGGACAATACCAAGTATGTGAATTTTAGAGACAGCAAGTTGACAAGGCTACTGCAGGCTTCTTTGGGGGGTAACGCGATGACGGCTATTATTTGTGCAGTAACTCCAGCCGCGTTCGAGGAAACTTTGTGCACATTGGGCTTTGCATCGAGAGCAAAAAGTGTGAAGAATAAGCCGCAGTTGAATGAAGTTATGTCGGATGCTGCTTTGCTGAAGCGCTACAAAAGACAGATCGCAAAATTGAACGAAGAACTCGAAAGATTGAAACACGAGAAAGGATTTCCAGATGTCCAGGAAATAGAGACCAAGTTGCAAGAGAAGGAACACATATTGAAAGAAAAAGACAGGATAAACCTAATGTTAGAAGAGAGGATAGAGTTGTTGAAAAATTCTATTGTATCCACTAGTAGTGTTACAAGGGATGACAATCGTTCTAAAATTCCCAAGTCCCTAAGAAGAAGAACTTGGGCTGGTAATGTAGGACCAAATTTTAGGCTTAGTTTAGGTTTTCGAAACTTGCCCACCATTGTAGAAACATCATGCACTAGTGAAAATACATCAAATAGCAATGACAACATTTGTAAAAACGTTAACAGAAGGAAAAGTTACATTCAGACAGTTGATTTGAATGAAGAATCTTTTGAGACCGAGTTCACAGATTTTGAATTGGAATTAATTAAAGTGGCAAAGGAACGTGAAATATTATCTGATACTACGTATTATCAAGAGGAAAAAATTTCTGGTGAAGTAGCACCTAAGACTGAGAAAAATCGCGTCAAATTTGAAGATGACGTAGTAATTAATTATTTTAACAATGGAAGCAGTTATTGCGATGCATCGACACCTGAAAAACGGAAATATAATTCAAATAATGGTATGTTTAGCATTTTTTAATCATTTTATATTAACTTTTAAAATTAATTTTGAAAGCGCTGATATAGTATTAATTATTGTATTCACTTTCCAGATCAAAATCAGGATTCATCTCCTGGTACACCAAAAGCTATATTAAGAGAAAGAATAAATTATTTGACAGAAGAATTCAAAGAACTTAGACAATTTACCACTCTGGAAAAGCAAGTATTACGAGCTGAAAAATTAAATTTTGATTTACCCGATGATGAAATACTGGATCAGCAAAGTAAAATAGACGATTTGACTCAGGCATTAGAAATGTCGAATAAGTATCAGGCACAAATTGAAGAAAAACTGACTGTTTCAATAAATTGCATCAACGAATTGTGTTTGAAAGTACCAGATGTGTATGATTTATGGAAACCTTTGATCAGTGAAGGGAAGAAAGCAGATCCTAATAATACAGTTGGCGACCTCAACCAACTTTTGGAGATTCTTAAAAATTCAAACAATCAGCAAAATGGTACAACAGCTTCAAATGCATTACACGAACAGTTGACGAATGATTATAATGAGTGTGTTAAAAAATTAGAAAGTGTTGAGTCGCACAAAAAGTCTTTGATTAAAGAGAATTCAGAGTTGAAGAGTAAACTTGCTGGTGAATCAACTAAATTGCAAAGTATGAGTGATCTGGTTAAGAGTTTGAAAAATGATACCGACTGCCTCATGGAAAAGTTAATCCAAAAAAATGATGAATTAATCAAAATCAAAGATAGAGTTGTTGAGCTGGAAAGGATTCATAGTGAATTTGAGAAATCTACCCTTACAAGTATCAGCGAAGATTTTCTGGAAAAAGAAACTGAGTCAAATGTACCTACGAAGCTAGATCAAGTTCTTTCAAACGAAGTTGCAAAAATGGATGAAAATGACCAATGGATCGAAGTATCGAAATATAAAAATCTTGAAGAAGAAATGAAACTAGAAAATGAACGTTTGCAACAAGTTATTGATGAATTTACTAATCGTGGAAAAAAATCGGTTGACAGTCAAACAGAGTCAGTTTCAAATGACATTTCTAACGATACTCAGATTCTCAAGCTATCCGAGTTGATTGAAGAAAAGACCTCGAGCATTGCCAACTATCAGCAAATAGAAATAGAAATGAAAGAAAAAATTGTTCAATTACAAAGCTGCTTGGAAAAACTTGATAAAAAAGACAATTTATCTGAACAGAGTTCTTCGGAAAATGCCGTATCGTGCGATAAAGATAGTAATTTAATCTTGAAGCAACAGCAAGAAGAATTAAGTAAAACTATTGAAGAAATTGAAACTTTGCCATTACTAGTAGATAACAGAGAAACCATAATCGGTAGTGAAGAGCCCAAATTTGACAAAGATAAGCTGATTTTTGATGTAACGGAAAGTAATTTGAAAGTTGTCACACTAGAAGCTATTATTGAAGAAAAAAACAAAGAGATTGAAAAATTGAAACAATTGGAAGAATATAGAATCAAAGAAATCGAAAGCTTGAAACTTCAGCTAAACGATTCACACGATTCTAAACAAACGGAGGACAGTCAAGTAGCTGATATTCCTGATAGTTGCAACAACAAAACCTCTGAACTATTAGAAGTAATTGAATTGAAATCTTCTGAGATTAAAAAATATCAAGAATCTGAAGAAGAATTAAAAAAAGAAATTTCTCGTCTAAAAGACAGTTTGGAAGACATGGAAAAAATTATTAAGGAACATGAAAAAAGTATTGCCAAAAAATCTAGTGAAAAAGTCAGTCAGGAAGAAGTAAATCAAGAAAAAGATGATGAAATTCTTAAATTGAAAGAAGATCTCCAGGAAAAAATCCTTGACATCGAAAAATACAAGCAAACGGAAAAAGAGTTGAATAGTAAAATCTCAAGATTGCAAGAAAGCTTCGATGATCTAGAAAAAAATGAAAAAGTGTCTGAAAAAAGCCTTATTGAATCTCAGGGTAGCGATGAAACACACCGTGTCAATATGATACAAGAAAAAGATGTACAAATCTCCAATCTATCAGAAATCATTCGAGAAAAATCTCTTGAAATCGAACAGCTTCTTCAGAGCGAACAAGAAAAGAGCAAAGAGATCGAAGATTTGAAACAACGTTTAGAGAGTGACCAAGTATTAAGCAATCATGTGATAAGTGACGGTATGGAAGTTATGGAAGTTGGTAACATCGAAATGGGCACAGGTGACTGTAAAGTTACTGAAATCAATAGACTGCATTCAATTATCGCCAAAAAATCTCTTGAAATTACAAACTACCAAGATTCGGAGCAAAAAATGAAAAAGGAAATTGAACGGTTAAGACAACGTTTGGATGATGCGAGCAGAGAATACCAGACATCTCAATTGACTCAAAAGGAAAAAGCAACAGCCGGTGATGAGAAAGAAACCGATGAGTCGAAAATGCGAAATCAGATAAAGACTTATCTAGAGGAAATCGAGACCTTGAGACAAGACGTGGATGCCACTAAAATCGAAAGCGAAAAATTTGAGGCAAGTGCTACATCGCTTCGCGACGAGGTAACGGCTAATATTAAAGAAATTGATGAATTGAAATCTTTAAACTCAGACTTAAAAAAGATTATTGATGAAAAGACAACAGAAATTACTAGCTTGAATCGGGATTTTGAGAACAAATTCGAAGATCTGGAAAAAAAACACGATGTAATTTTGTTGGAAAGAGATGAATTAAAAGAAAAACTTGATTCTGTTATTTCTACTGAATTGAACGAAGGTTTAGAAAATGAGATCATCAATCTTCAAACCGTTATAGAGAACCTAAGAGCTGACAATCATCATTTGCGAAAGCGTGTTGAAGCCTTGGATACGGAATTTAATAAATCAACGTCAATGAAATCGTGTATGGATACTATGTGTGATTCCGCAATAGCTTTAGAGTCAGAAATCAAAGAGCCTATTAACGAGACTGTAAAACAAGAGGTTGATACTAAATCCATGGAAGTAAGTAGTTTTATAAAACCAGAAAATACAAGGATAGAAATAAAAGAGTCAAAGCCTACTCCTGTAATACCAAGTACACCCGTTACCGGTAGCGATGATAAAAAGCCATTGAGCCAATTGGAGTTGGAAACTAGTAGTATTTTTGCCAACAATACTTACTTTGATAACCTGGAAGATGGCCAATCCATTGTGCATGACAGTGCCTCTATGGTGGCAGGATTTGATGTTAGCAATATGACAGAGAGTATTGACGCGTTGAAAATTAAAAAGGAAATGGTACAAATACCCGATGATAGTTTAAGAGAATTGACCCAAGACGTTACAAATACAGAGAAATCTGTCATTATTCCGACTGGAATTATTCGATCCTCTTCATTAGACCAAACTGTTATTGAATCTTACACTGTTGACGAACTCAAAGATTTTGTTACCTATTTGAAGCAAACTCTCGTTAAATTCGAAGCGACCGTTGATACACTGTGGAAAGATAATGAGAACATGTCTACACTGTTGACGAAAGAAAAAAAAAGTAATATCATGGTAATAAACGACTTACAAAAAAAAATTGACGCACTAAACGAACAGCTTGAAAAACTTACCCAAGAAAAAGTTTCCCTTCAACGTGACTTGGAAATTACAACTGAGCAATTCGAGGCCATGCGATCCAAAACGCCCATTTTACACGACGACGAAATTAAGCAGGAAATTTTGCGATACCAAGATAAAGTGAAAAGTTTAAATGAAGAAAACGTTAATTTGATGGAAAAAATCGGGGAGCTTGAAAAAGTGAAGGAGAGCAAACTTCATGAGTACGATCATCACTGTGTTTACAGAGAAAAAGCAGATTCGCTGTTGGAAGAATACAAATGCCTCGAAAATGAAAACATCGAGTTGTCGAATGGATTGACCAATCAGATAGAGGAATGCGACAGGCTGACAATGGCTGTAGATGTATTGAAAAAGCAGCTGGAAGCTTACACGAATCAATCGACCCACGAAAGCTCTGACAAGATCGAGCTGGATATTCTCAAAGCAGACAATGAGCAGCTAACGAATGAAGTGATAGAGATGAGAACGAAAATAAATCAGTTGAGCAACGAAAATGCTTATTTGTCGTCGAATTTAGTCTTAGACGATAGCGACGAACACAATGCAAGCACTGTGAGCTTGCAAAACAAATCATCCCGTAATTTCATGGGTCTTGAAATGTCAATATCCGATGATCCTGCAAACGAGCTTACAAACGCTTCATCAAGAAGTAGCAGAGTTAAATTTTTAGAAAGCAAAGTAGAAGAATTGACTTGCAAGAACAAGAAGCTCAGTGAGTTGAAACTCATGATTTGCAGTAGTTGTTCTGAGTTGAAAGAATTGAATGAAAATAGAAGACATCTGAAAGTCCAATTAAAATCGGTACAGCACGATTTATTGAATCTTCAAAAAGATTTCAAGAAGAAATGTGTTGAGACCGAAGCCTTGAAAGTCAAAGCAAGAGAAGATTTTAATTCGAGCTTGAATTCTACATTGATGGACGATACTCTGAACACCAGTAGTTTAGATGGCTCGAGTGTAGCACTCATCGAAGAAAAAATTCTCGAATTGCGCAATGCGTACGAAGAGTTGAAAGAAAATCACAGCAAATTGGCCAATCAGTACAAAGAATCCAACGTGCTGGATAAGTCGCAAATCGAAAAAAGCTCTCCAGTGGTTCCTGATCGAAAGTCTCGCAAAAATGTTTCAAAGATACAGGCGCTCCAAAAAAATATTGAAATCCTTGAAAACGAAATACAAGATATGAAAAAATCAAATTCTAAGGTTTATGCTTCTATAAACCAATTTTTGACAGAAAAAGGTGGCCAGATTGAGGTTTTGCAAGTGGAAAACGGAAAACTAAAGAAGGAACACAGTGATGCTCAGGCAAGTGTTTTAACCTTTGCTGAGAAGGCCAAGCTGCTCGAAGAAGAGTTGACTGGTCTGTATAAACGAATAGATAGTGCTACTGCGGCTGAGAAAGAGATTCACGCCGAAAAACTGGAGATTGAAGTTCGATTGGAAAGCTTAATAAATGAGAAGTCTGAACTTATCAAGTCTCATCAGGATGCCCAAGAAAAGCTTATGAGAGAACTCGAAGACTGCAAGTCTCTCTTGTGTACCCATGAGAAGGAAATCGAAGAGTTAAAGAGCGATTTGGCAAGGTCCGAAGCCCTTGTGAACCAGTCGAAAGGACAAAATAGTGCCGTAGACGTTGTACAAGAAGAGATCAGTCAGGCTAAGTCGAGAATCATCAAAGAAATCGTAAGTTTGGATAGTCTCTCCGAAGATGAATCCAAAGCGTTATCAAAGAAGACGCTTATTCAGACTTTCCAGAGGTTCTATAACGCCGTCTTATCGAAACAAACCGAAATCGTCAAGAGATTCCAAGATGAATACGAAAAATCCAAACGGAAATTAACGGAGGAGAAGCAGCAGTGCATCGATGCCGAAAAACGAGCTATCGCTTTGGTCCAAACTATGGAAAGTGATCTCGAGAAGTTTCAAACGGACGTTACCGAGCAAGAAAAGAAGAATCGTAAGCTCGAAGAAGAAAAGCTCAACTTGGAGCACCGTTTTAAGGAGGCTCAGCACGAAAATGAGCGATTGCACAGTGCTATACGTATCTTGGAATCCGACCTGAGTCAGTTGCAACTCGAGCTGGAGAAAAAGTCACGATCGAACGAGGATCGCGACAGTGCTATCAGTGCAGCTCAGGAAAGAGAGAAACTGGCTAAAGCCAAAGAAGAGGAGAGCGAAAATCGGCTGATGCAAGAGAAGGAAGAACGCCGGCGTGAGGTCAGCAAACTCAACGACGAGCTTGATTCGTACAAATCGCTGATCGATGACCTCAAAAATTCCGTCGAGGGCTTGGAACTTGAAATCGAGCATCTCAAGAACACCAACAACATCAAGACGAACGATCTGGTCGTGGTTGAGAACAGAATCGCAGAGTTCGAGCAGGTGATTGCGCAAGCGGAAGAAGTGATTCAGCAATTGAAGAATGAAAGCTTGGAGAAGGATAGATGCAAAGACGAGCTTCAGAATCTCTTGAAAATTAAATGCGATCTGCTGACCGAGTACAAGACGAAGGTGGAGACCATGAAGCCGGAATTCGAGAGCTTGCAAGCTCAGTTAGCCGATCGGAAGTTGTACGTCGAAAAGTGCAAGGAAGACATACACAATATGAAGCTGGAACATAATAAGCAATTGGACGTATGGCAGGACAAAATCTCGAACGAGGAGATAAAATCGGCGGGGTTGGGAAAACAGATTGCCGAGTTGAAGAATAAAAATACCCAGCTGTGCTCTACCATCGAGGACTTGAAGGATCGCTGTACCGAAATTGAGAGAGAAAACGCAAGTCTCCAGCGAAAGGTGAGAAACAGTACGAGCAAGGTGCGAGTTGAAAACGAGATGCAGGAGTTGCAGGATGAAAATAGGTTACTAAAGAACCACCTGGAAGGCTCGTACAATCGCATAAAGGAGCTTCAAGAGACCAAGTCACAAGTGCAGCGGGAGATGGCCGAAGCGCAGGGAAAGAAAGAATTACTGGAGCAGGAGCTTAATACGACCAAGATTGCTTTGGAATCTTTGAGAGAGAAATACAACAACATTAATCTGCAGAAAATGCGCGAAAGGTACGAAACGCTTCTTCAAGAGAAAAACAATGTTGTGCGCGAAGTTGAAGAAAAAAGGATGCTGCTGGCCAGTAAAGATCAGAAACTCGTTGAGTACAGCATAGAATTGGATACTCTGAAGAAGCAGAAGGAAATGCTCAATAGCGAGATATTGAATTCAAGGGTAGAGAAGTCTTCGCTGGAAAACAAAATTACAAATGTTAATGATGAAATTGAAAAGTTGAAAGTGCAATTGAATACCAGCATTGCTGAAAAAGACGAGGTGTATCGGCTTTTCGAGGAAGAAAAATGTAAATCATCTCTTGAACTTCAGAGCAATCGAATAAAAATTGACGAGCTTGTTAAAAAGAACAAAGAACTCGACGAAGAGATGGACGACATGGTGTCCCATGTACACAAGCTGGAAAACGAGAACGTCGAGCTCTTCAACAAGATGATCGAGGGTTCGTGCATTGAGAATCTAGAGAAGATAAAGAATCTCGAGAACGAAAGAGAAAGGCTCCAGACTGGCTTGCAGGCGACTGAAGGAAAACTCACAAAATTGGAGAACGAGATTATCCGGCTGAACTCGGAGAAAGAGCAGCTTCTAAGCAAAATTGAAGACATGAACGGCAAGTATGCTGAGCTCGAGTCCAAGTTCTTCGAGAAAATGTCGAGTCGCGGTGGTTCTAGGAGCAACAGTCCGTCATCGCGAAAGAAACAAGGTCGCCAGAAGCGCAGTGACTTGTTCAATTTGAGTCGGACGTTGAACGAAGGAAACGATAACCAGGACGTTACCGAAAACGAATCGCCAACGTCTACGCCGACTCCACCTCCCATCTTACTGGAGTGCCATATGTGTAATGAGTTGAAGAATCGTATTCGCGAAATGTCCCTCGACATAGTCTCGAAAAGCAACAAAATCACAATGCTCGAAGTTCAGCTTCAGTCTGAAAACCTTCCGTATCAGATCAAATACAATGAGCTGCAACAGCATGTGCTGGCGCTCAAGACAAGAGTAAGACATTTTTTTTGCTCATTTTTTTCATTATTACAATGTGTTCTTTGAATTTTTGGTAATGTAATTTGTTTTATGTTTATCAGAATTCGGAGCTAAAGTTGGAAGCACAAAAATTACAACGAGCTCTAATGGAGGATAGCTTCCGCGAATGCCGAATTTGTAGACAGAGAAAGTTGAATAAGAGAGATCAAGCTGTTCAAGCTAACGTACCTGATAAACTTTACCTGAGCGGCATGAGCAGTGGCGCTGTTGAAGTAAGTTTAAAAAATCGACATTGTATAAATGCCTTAATTTTTTTCAAAATCACAATTAACAATAAAAAAAATTTTTTTAAATAATAAAAAATAAAGAATTCAGGAAATTCGGACTAGACTCGTTGGGAGTAAGAATTTAAAATAAACCCATTGCATAATTTACGAAATATTACCGTCATAGTTTGTTTGATGTTACTACTCCCGACGGATTTAATTTGAATTGCTAGAAATTATAATTATAAATAGAATTGTTCATAATACTGATTAGCAATATTTCATGTATGATTATATTTTTCAGGATTATTGCAAAATAGTGAAATTGGAAAAAGAAAGGAACATCATGAAAGATCTGTGTAGAAATCGCGCGAAAAAAATTAAGGAGCTGGAATTTAGGATAAGAGATTTTGAAGGTTTGAACGCAATCAAAGAGTAACTTATTTTTATTAACTGATAAAACTATAATTTAACTACAGACTTTACATATTGTACAGAATAGATATTAACGTATATAGTAAATCAATGAGTTTATCAAAGTATTCATTCCATCTATACAAAAGAAGAATGTATCACTTGTAGCTTGAAGTATTATATACTAAACGTAAATATATTTATAGAAATCTGCGAATTACTGCTTGTCAAATCTGTCGTAAATTTTACTATCTCTACTCTTGTATCTCAAAATAGTTATTCGTATGTTGGAAAATGTTTTCAGGTTTAAAAAACGTCATCATTATTTACTACCCTGTAAGTTTGATTTTCCCATGAAGTTACAAAAAAAGAGCATTTTTTACGTTTATACGATTTTTGTAAAAGTCGTACCATATTTAGAATGCTATACTTGTATATTTGTTATTAATCGTAAGAAAAAATTCATCAAAATAAGTAATGTGTAAAGTTCAAAAGAAAAATTTGGATGATGCATATACTCAGTCAAGTGCCAATAATTACTTTAAGTGCCTTGAAGATCCGAAATTGCCTTGTAAATTGTATTATAGTATGTATATTTATATGAAAAAGATATTTTGTGCGTAATGACAGTAAATTTTTTTATACTCTTTGATATCTAAAAATCTATATTCCTTAATATGGATTTAAGTAAAAATTAAAATAAAAAAGAAATATGTTTATAAAGTATTTTAGAATTTATTTTTCACTTCAACAATGTCCTTTTAATTTTTCCTTTTTTATTACAGCTTACTAAAGAATCCGTTGCAACAGGTGTTCGTATTTTAACGTTGGTATTATATATATGTATATGCAAGCATTGTTGCAGACGACACGACGAACGACGAGTGTTGTGACGTTTTGTTGTTTTGTGTCTTGTGTGTAACCTATATCATTGTCGGCTGACGTGTATATCTGAATACAACCCGGCTCTTGAGAAAAAAGTATTAATTATGTCAAATTCAAAATCTGAAAGTTGTAATGACTCTGATCTAGAAGTTTTTGAAGAAAAATCGTTTTCTTGTGACAAGTTTCTTATAAAAATTTTCACTCTCATCACATGCATAAAAGTTCTTCTAATTCCAACATAGTGAGTATGGTGATATGATTCCAAAATTAAAAAATCCGATTTCTCTTGAGTCATAAGTACTTAAATCTTATTTATAGTCATTCAACGGATTTTGAAGTTCATCGCAATTGGCTTGCCATCACAAACAGTTTAAAAATAGATGAATGGTACACAAGTTCAAAGTCTCAGTGGACATTAGATTATCCTCCTTTTTTCGCTTGGTTTGAATATGCCTTGAGTAAAGCAGCAGTTTTCTTTGATCCCGAGATGCTGAAAGATGATAATTTTGATTATGCTTCTACAAATACCAAATTTTTTCAAAGACTGACAGTCATGATTGCCGACCTGTTTTTCGTTTACGGTGTGAAAGAGTAAGAATGCAAAGTGTGCACAAATTTTCAAATATTAATTCTGTTCAAAATTCGATATGTACAAATTTTTTCAAGAAAAGTACATTTTCAGAGTAGGGCAAGTTTTTTGTAAATCAAATAAAAGTTTTGTTGCACTAACTCTTCTATCTTTGTGTAACATTGGATTACTTGTTGTGGACCACATACATTTTCAATACAATGGATTCCTTCTTGGTGTTTTGTTGATATCAATAGCAAAAGTATCAAGAGTATCAAGTGACGTGAGTTTTTATCTAAACCACTTGTAAAACAAATAATACATTATTTTAAATTTTTATTTAATTAAAATATTATTCCCAGATCAGCGTTTTGCAAGGAGCTATGTGGTTTTCTATACTTCTAAATTTGAAACATTTATATTTATACGTAGCTCCAGCTTATGGCGTATGGCTTTTGAGAAGCTACTGTTTAAAGGGTGATAAATTTATTTCCCGATTTTTAAAACTTGGAGCAATAGTGATTTTCGTATTCTGCCTGGCATTTGGACCATTTGTACATCAAATACCTCAAGTAAGAGTTTGAAAGCATATTTTACCAATTGTTAAAAATTTTTTACTAATTGAAATATTACCAGGTCTTATCTAGACTATTTCCATTTAAAAGAGGGCTTGTTCATTCATACTGGGCTGCAAATGCTTGGGCGCTGTATGCTGGAGTCGATAAAATTTTATCTGTGATATGGAAGAAAGCTGGTTGGCTGGACAACATTAAAGTCGCTTCAATGACTGGTGGACTAGTTCAAGAAGAATCATTTACAGTTTTACCCACTCCAACGCCATTAGTTACATTTCTTATTACTTTCGTGATGATGGTTGTAAGTTTAAAAAAAAATATATTTCAACAGTCTTAATAATTATTGTCCAATCAATTGATGATTTTTTTTTCAACGACTTCGTTTTTTTCAGCCTGCTCTTTGTGTTTTATTTTTTAAGAAAGAAAAACATAGCAATTCCAAAAATTTCGTAAGATGTGTCGTGATATGTGGCCTCACTTCTTTCATGTTTAGCTGGCATGTCCATGAAAAAGCCATACTTACAGCTATAATACCACTATGGTAAATCAGAAAGTAATTTACAAGAAAAAAAAAAAAAAAAACATACATTAATCTTTTAAATTTTATTTCAGTGTTCTTTCAACAATAGATATCAATGATGCCAGGATATTCATTTTGTTGAGTTCAGCAGGCCATGCAGCTCTATTTCCATTACTTCATCCAGTGTATTTGACACCGTTGAAATTATTTTTGTGGTTTGCATATTTTCTTGGATCGCTAATTCTGTTCAAGAATAATTTTTCCGGTAAAACACTGCACATCTTAGAGTGGCTGTATTTGGCGCTCATTCCTGGTATGACGATTTACGAAAGTGTGTTGCACAGAGTCATTTTTGGTGATAAACTTCCTTTTTTGCCATTGGCATTGACATCTGTTTATTGTGCAATAGGAGTTTCATATTCATACATTATTTATTACTGCAAGTACGTTTTCGAGGACAATGCACCTATTCAAAACCAAAGACGGAAGAGCACTGAAAATAGCACGAAATGTGAACTGGAAAAAGATGCTTGAGACTTAACATTAAGATACTCGCTTCAAAAGTTGAATAAAGCCTTTGATTAATATTTTTAATACTTACATCAGTTATTTTAATCTCTTATTTAAACCCCGGGCTACATGACGCATTCGTTAATTTGTATTTGTGTTAAGATTACTCATCGACACAAACTTCTGAATGCCTTCTCAAAGATATTTTGTATAAAAATATATAATAAAAATTTATAGATTTCTACAACAAGGTGTATTTAAATTTCAGGCCGCGATCACATTATTGTCTGAATATTGCAGAATGCGTCAACAAAAAGTCCCCTCAATTGGTGCACCTACGTTAACGATAGCATAATATATAATGGTAAATATTTGGTCTACTCTGCTGACCAAATATGATGTTAGTCGTGTACTTAATATCTTGAAAGTTTTTAAGCGTTGATTGGATCATTCTATGTGCACACGAGCCTTGGCGATTTTTGCATTAAGTAAGGCTTCTTCTTTGGAAAATTGTTTTTTATCACTCAAAAATGGAGGTCTTATCAATTGAATGCCATGCAATAAGCAAATATCATCAATTAAAAAGCCTTTATCAGTTATAAGACTATCGTCACGATCAAGCTTATGAATCAACTTGCTTTTTTCAAATATAGCTTTGTCAGAGCATCTTCCTGGATAAGCCTTACTTACAAAAGTTATGATACCTCCTTGTGAAACAGCTGTCACGAATTTCATAGTATACGCCGACTTGTACGTAGAGTAGGCTTCCACCTGACAGCATATTTTCTTAGGTTTTTGAATACTAATTTCAATTCCGTCGATTACAGCTCTTACACTTTCAAAGCCCTTAAAACAATTCGGTAAGTTTCTTAAAATTTCATCTTTGCTGGGCCAATGAATAGCAAACCGTAATCCAACTGCTAAAACATCAATCATTAAAAAAAAAAATTTTCTGCAAGTTGCTTCACAATATACCTTAAACAATACACTAATCACAGTATACGACACATTTTGCTTCAATTTAATAAATGTGATTACTATTCTGTCTTTGATCGACAGTTGTGCAGAATTTTGATATAAACTTATTTCCATATTGGGAAGTACTTCTTTGACAACAGATTCTAAAAAATCTAAATAATCGAAGGAACTTAATCCTGTCATTGCATTCAAATCTTTTTCATTTTTTATTAAATCACTATAAATTTCAAAATGCACTTGAACACATTGGTCTTGAAAAGTCTTTGGTTCACTGACAGATAGCACTTGCACCAAGTTACAAGTTTTATCACTCTCCTCTTGCACTGTAGTTGCATGAATATCATGGATACTGTCAATACAGGTATCAATAGTATTATTAATATTGGTACAAACTGTTTTGCATTTGTCAATTTTTTGTTTGAGGTACAGTTTTCTTTTGACCGCTCTGGTTTCTGTCCTTGCATCTCTTATTAAGTCTTTTTCTTTTTTTTGTAGTATATCAGGCGTATCTGTAGGTAAATTTACGGAAGGCACTGCTATTCTTTGGAGGCTGTCCATCTGAAATTTAGAATAATTTCACGTAAATTTGTGTATCTATGATCATAACTACAAATTTCAAAATTAAATAAAATTACTCACAAGTTAAACAATAATCTTTTGCAGTGAAGTGTAATGAGCAAACAAAAGGTTTTTGATAACTCTCGCTAATTTTCAAACGTTTCATCCACACTTTTCTTACATCGATTTTCTCTTTGTTATTCAATTTATTCGTAATTTCAACTTGCACTTTACCAGCTTTTGGCACAACGTGAAACCGTAAAGTTGGATCTTTCGCAGCAACACTCTTGCATCCCAAAACACTGCAATTTTTGTTGCTGCTGTTTTTATGAGGAGAAAATCTCATGCCTCTCTCGTCCATATTTGTAAAAATTGAGATGTGAGATTATATACCTGTACATACACTTAACAGTCAGTAAGATTGCATAAAAGTAATAAATAATTAGTTAAATGATTGTATACCGATTTGACATTACGTGAGTTTCAGCTGTTGCTGCTGCTGCGCTACTGCTGCTGGTGCTCAGAGATAAACAAACAGCTCAAAGTAGGGTTAACGGCACTCCGTATACGTTCAAAACGCTGTTTCAACCTTCATGAACGAATTCATCAAAGGAAAAAAATAACTACGTAACTCTGACTATGTCAGTAACATGGAACTAACAACCTTTTTAAGCTCAATATCTTATTAAGTGCGAAAAAAAATAAAAACAAGATTCCTCCCATAAGACCTGTGTTATTTCTCTCCTCTATATTAGTCATATATATACTGAGGTCACGTGGTAGAGGCATAATGCCAATAACTCAATCTCACTTCTATGACGTATTCCGCACGGCAGCGGAGATTCTGTGCGCAAACCACTCAGTCAGCCAATTTTAAAACGGAATTCGTTACCAAAAGTTAAAAACTGTTTTATTGTTGATTACGTTGTAAAGACGTATTTTTTATTGAATAATTTATGACAGTATCCTAGTGGAATTAAATTGAAACATTAAATACTTTAATAATCTGAATCATAAATTCAGTTCTTGCTTTATCTGCACGAATCGTACTTATATTATTTTGAGAGATGGTGGGGAAAAATTTCTTTGACGCATTCCGTAATCTGCATCTCCATTCTGCGGACGTGTGTGATATCATAGCCTAATCTCTAACCGGTTTCTTCAAAATATACGCCCAGTACGCCACAGTGGCGTGGTAGGGTGTGTGTTTATTCGTTTATTATTTATTTTAATAATAATTAAATAGCTACTGAGTAGCTGGTAACGTTTTAGTAATTCTAAGACACTTAGTCTACACCGCAAGAGAATTGTAATGAAATTGATTGTAAGTACTTGAAGTACTGTTACAATTTTGTATTCGGAGGCTGTGTGTAGTTTATTGAGGTTAATGGCTTGTGTGTTGTTGTAACATGTTAATTGGTGTGCTACTGCTGACCCCGAATGAGAATACATTCATGCAAATTTTTTTAACGAGCCCTAGAAGTGGTTTAATTAATGATAGTTATGATTGCATAAAATGTATTTTATTTTCAAGCCAATTGGGTTCGAGGTTATGTCAGGATAATCAATTATCCTTTTTGTCTAATTGTTATTGTTGTTGGTGTTTGTTGTTGGTGTTGAGCAGAGTAATTGTAAATAAAATTGACGTGGACTGCAGCCGGAGAGTTTGCAATGTCTTCGGTGCAGCGAGCTTTTGCTCAGAAGCTAAGCAAACATCATGCAGCGGACGTACGCCGGCAAATCGCTACGTCCACTTCCTACTCCAGGGAATTGTCTAAGAGTAACAGCAATTTTTCGGGGTTCTCATCGACGGTACGTATAGTGTTCCTAGATGATTAATTTGTGTATTATGATTTTCTTTTCGCGCAACCATTTTTAACTTTCCGTCCAAATGTTTTTACTTTGATCAGGTGTCTCTCTGCGAGATGGTGGAGCCTTTGGATTACGAGGAATTTTTGACGCAACATCAAAATGTTATAGATCGAGATCCTTTGAAGTCAATTTTAGATTATCCTCCTAATGATATTGAATTGAAAGTTATCAAGAGGAAGATTAGGACAGAAGAACCCATAGTTCCTATAGAGCCTATGTAGTGCATTTGTTTAGCAACAATTTTCTTTATTTTTTCCCTTCATTACAAAACAATGTTAATTAGAGGAATCTTCGTTTGTATTTCAGTGAATCAGTATCGCCTTATGTGAAAAGGTGCATTGAAAGTTTCACTTCAGACTGGGTCTTTGTACATAGAAAATTTAGGGGGAGGGCTTCACCCATTGGAAGGGATAGATTAGTTCAAGAAACACCGAGACAAGACTTTGAAGTAAATCTACAAATTATTATTTTAAAGTATTATTAAAAATTTCATGAATTTATTAATATAAAAAACAGGTTGACCAAGAACAAACGAACGGTTCTCATTCACCAAACGATGAAGAATCAGATCCATCACAGTATGGGTCGCAACAAGAAACGCCAAGAGGTTCTTGGGCAAGTTTGGATCTTCGACATTCTCAGCATGATCCTCTTCTTCCAAGTATTTTAGATAGAGTTTCTCCTGAAACATTAGATCAAATAAATGAACAAAAACGTTCAGAAGACAGACAAGTACGTTTTTTAAGAATGCAACCAAAGTTATTCATTAATTTTAGTTTATAAATACTTTTTTCTTCATAGGAAACGCTATTTTCTCTTTACGCCTTACCCGCACCATTGGATGACGAATGGCAAGAAATAACTTTAGCTACAGAACCAGCAGAACCTTTTTCCCACAAGATTCTCATAAAATGCCTTCAATTAAAACTGGAATTGGAAGTCGAGCCTATTTTTGCCAGTCTCGCTTTGTATGATGCAAAAGAGAAAAAAAAGATCTCTGAAAATTTTTACGTTGATATGAACGTGGAAGCCTTAAAGAGGATGCTCGGTAGTCATGTAGCTTACAGTGATGCAAGCACTTTGGCAAGAAGTTGTGTTGTAAGCATAAGCAAACCAAGCCCGGATTTGTTCCTTGTTATTAGATTAGAAAAAGTGTTGCAAGGAGATATTTCTGAATGTGCAGAGCCTTACTTGAGAGATGATAAAAACAAAGACAAGGTTCGAGCCGCAGCAGCTGCAGCTTGCGAACGCTTAGGTCGTTATCGTATGCCCCTCGCGTGGACGGCAATACATCTTTCAGGAGTCATTGGTGGGGGTGGAGATGCGGACAGCACGGGAAGTGCGGGTTCCTTGGACAGAAAATCTAGTGGCATGGAGCAGTGGCGAAGAAAAATTGAACCACCCATACGAAGAGGATCTCTAGAGCGCCGATGCTCGGACAAGAGACGAAGCTGGTCATCGGATGATTTCGCAAATTGTCTAGACAGTTTTAGGTACCTAAATACATGCTAACTAAAGATTTTAGTTTTTTAGTAAAATCATTAAAATGTGTGTTCTTTAGGCCCATAACTCTAACAGTATCTAGTTTTTTTAAACAAGAAAGTGAGAGATTGCGTGATGAGGATCTGTACAAACTTTTGATAGAATTGAGAAGGCCAGGCTCAAATTTAAAAAAGTTAAAATGCTTACCTGGAATTTTAAAATTAGATTTAAGTCCGCGTCCTGACGAACTACCTCGATGTTTAGATCCAGACTTGCGGAGGTTGTCCCCATATCCAAATGAAAATAACCGCCCTATAAAAGAAATCTTGGAATTTCCTAGTGAAATTGTTGCACCTGAACTATCATATCGTAATTTACTTTATGTTTACCCAAAAGTAAGTCATTTTTTAATTTCCAATCAAGTTTTGTAGTTTTAGTCAATGCACTCAGAATTTTTTTTCTCTTGATTTTCAGGAAGTGAATTTTAGTTCTAGAGCAGGTTCGGCTCGAAATATAGCAGTTCGCATTCAATTAATGGGAGGGGAACAAGAGAACGAAGCTTTGACGGCAATTTTCGGTCGTTCCTCGTGTCCCGAAATGACTCACGAATATTTTACTTCCGTTTTGTATCACAATAAAAATCCAAATTTTTACGACGAAGTAAAAATTAGGTTGCCAGCGGATCTAAGTGCTAGACATCATCTGCTATTTACTTTTTATCATATTAGTTGTCAGAAGAAGGCTGAACAACCAAACGTCGAAACTCCCGTAGCTTATACTGTAAGAGTTCGTAATGTCCCATTATAATTTGAATGTGTATCATCGATTGACTGTCAATAATTATTTGTAGTGGTTACCATTGCTAAGAGATGGGCATCTACAATCAGGAGAATTTAGTTTACCTGCGATGTTGGATCCTCCACCAGCAAACTATTCCTACATAGCACCAGATGTTCTTTTACCGGGAACTCGATGGGTTGACGCACACAGAGGCGTTTTTACTCTGATTCTTGAGCCTGTTTCTAGCGTACACCCTCAAGATAAATACATAGATAGGTACTTTCAGAAAATTTTATCATAGAAATGTTGTTTATTCCATATTTAAAAACTATCAAGGAATTCTCTGCCATTTGCATTTTAGGTTTTTGTTGCTTTGCGGTGCCTTAGAACTGGGCCAAGTACCGCCACGCATTGGTGAGGCGGGAATGGAATCTGAACTCAAATCCGCGCTATTAGAGATCGCTCGGTGTTCACAAACTGCTCTGATTCGTTCATTGCCTCAGGTGTTCAATCATCTTGTATATCTACTTGTACGACCTCCAACACTGCCTTCACAGACGTTGAACATCGCTGCCACTGTCTTTGAGGCCATTGGCTTACTTGTACGAAACATTACGAATCTGCAAGATGGTCAAGTTGACTCGCACGGCAGGCATCCGCTGCTAATGACTTACACGGCTTATCAATGCTCTCTACCAAGAATGAGCCATGGCTCAGGTGTCATTAGAGCTCAGAGTAATCCCGATTTGCCGATAGAAGACCTTGAAATGGAAATACATTCTCGGGGTATTGACCGTACAGCTTCAATGAGGCAGGAATCCACCATCAACAGTCAATGGTATTGAAATGAAGCCTAGTAATATAGTTATTTGCATGGATACAGTAGTTACTATTTATAAGTGACATGTCTCTTTTTAAAATTATTTTTCAGTATTCCCTCTACGCGCAGACTGCTGCACGAGGAAATAGTATTGCATTGGGTGGTTTCGACTGCTCAAGCGCGTGAGCTCGCCATTACACATTCCTGGTTCTTTCTGGAGCTAGTTGTCCGCTCGATGGTCATTACCTTGACGGAATTCGACATGATGGATTCGCCACGTAAGATGCGATTTTCACACCAGTTTTGCGACGATTTGTCAACTCTCGTAACCGCTCTCACAAACGAAATAATCCATCGCAGTGGCAAAGACAATCGCGTTGCTTCGAATCTTACTTTAGGTCTCGGAAATTTTTTATCCGATTTGTTCTCCATCATGGATCGCGGTTTCGTGTTGTCATTACTCAGAGCCAGTTGTTGTTCCATGGCCGACGCATTTATGCAAGTACCTGATTCGGCAGCTCTGTTTGCTCTGAAGCTCGATCTCGTGCGGACGGTCTGCTCAAACGAGCACTTCGTTGCCCTGAATTTACCTTTCGGCACGGGCTACACGTGTGGCTCAGCGCCAGTCTCGCCTTCTCCTTCGACTGGAAGTTCCGGCTCTCTAATTTCTACTCTGGTACCTGGTGAGCGCGTTCGCTTTTCCGAGCTAAGCCAAGAATTTCGTCAGCAGCATTTTCTTGTCGGTCTCGTTCTTCTCGATTTATCTAACACCCTGGAAATTCCAAACCCAATGCTGCAGAACAAGGCCATTGGCACGATCCGATATCTCATGACGTGTCACGATGCTGATCCTCGTTACACAGATTCATCGGCCAAAGCTCGTGTCGCCGCCTTGTATTTGCCTTTACTGAACATCCTAATGGATGCACTGCCGCAACTGTATCATTGGGATTCAAAGGAGAAAAGTGTTTATACGGACGAAAGTGGCTCAATTACCCAATCTGTTGCTCTGGCTATTTCAGGCGGGACCTCGGTAGAAAATGCTGGAGCGCAGTGCAGGGTTTCCCTGAGCTCCGAGGCTACTAGACATTTGTTAATGTGTGCTCTGTGGATTTTGAAGTCAATAGAAAAATCAGCTCTAGCGCAGTGGATAACGGAATTGAGCACAAGGAGGATTTTAAGCATTTTGCAAGTGTTGAATATATCCACGGCCGCTTTTGAATACAAAGGCAAAAAAGCACTGAAGAGATTGCCCTCTACAGCTACGGCCACGAGTGACATCAGATCAAGGTTGGAAGATGTCATTTTGGGTCAAGGAAGCGCCAGGAGTGAGATGATGATGAGACGGAAGGAGAGAGCCAGTGGTGATAAGCTGAGATGGAGAAAAGATCAAATGGCTTATCGGTGAGCTCAATGTTTTATCAGCTATTACAGCATAATGATGAAAATGAAATAATCATTGATTTATTATCGTTCCATAAAAGAGTGTCTGAACAACCTGAAGGTAAAGCAGTTGAACAAGATGCACACATTGAAGGAGCTCTAGCAGCTGAAGCTTCTCTAATTGTGTTGGATACGCTTGAAACTATTGTTCAAGCTGAAGGTGGAGGAGGTAACTAAGATATTTCACGAAAATTGATAATTTTTTTTATTCCTACTAATTTTCAAATTTTTACATTAGGCATGGTAGTCGGCGGCGTTTTGAAAGTATTATTGAGGACTTTAGCAAGGAACCAAAGTACCTTAGTATTGCAACATATGTTCAATACTCAAAGAGCACTAGTTTTTAAATTTCACAGTGCTCTGTTTGATGAGGAAGAAAGTGAAAGATGCGGAGACTTGTGTCTGACGTTGTTAACGAGATGTAGTTCACCTTTAAGTGCCATTCGTAGTCACGCTGCCGCGAGTTTATATTTATTGATGCGGCAAAACTTTGAAATTGGCAATGTAATTTGTTTTGAACATTATTTTTGACAATATTGGATGTAAATTATGGTTAAATAATGTTGATTCTTACAGAATTTCGCCAGGGTGAAAATGCAAGTGACAACTTCGCTTTCTGCTCTCGTTGGCAGAGGAAGAGCGCCTAACGAAGGTGCACTACGTAGGGCATTAAAGACTGTTCTTGTTTATGCTGAGAAAGATACGGAGTTGACAGATACTAGTTTTCCAGAACAAGTTAAAGATCTACTTTTTAATCTTCACATGATTCTTTCCGATACTGTAAAGATGAAAGAATTTCAAGAAGATCCTGAAATGCTCCTTGATTTAATGTATAGGTAAAGACGATTCTCATAATCCATTTATCCATCAATTTAAATAAAAAGTAATCTTTTACTTTAAATCCGCAGGATCGCAAAAGGTTATCAGAGCTCGCCAGATTTAAGATTAACGTGGCTGGCAAATATGGCACAACAACACATGGAGCGAAAGAATCACACCGAGGCAGCGATGTGCTTAGTGCATAGTGCTGCATTGGTGGCTGAGTATCTTCACCTTTTGGAGCCAGGTAGTGGCGGTCGACCAATCGGTGCGGTTGCCCTAAGTCCAATAACTCCAAACGCTTTGGAGGAAAGTGCGGTGGGCGATGACGTGCTTGCCAGAAGGGAAGAAGGACTCTGCCTGGGACCAGACTTTTCTGAAAGTGGTCTTGCCGGTTTACTCGAACATGCCGCAAGCTCGTTCCACGCTGCAGGCATGTACGAAGCTATTCCAGACGTTTATAAAGTCTTGCTACCCATTGCCGAAGCTGCTTACGATTATAAAAAGTTGGCTAATATTTATGGGTGCGTATCTTGGTTCAGTCGATTGATATATATTTACTTTATGACATTTTGATCAATGCTATTTGTGATTTAGGAAGTTGCACGAAACTTATACTAGAATTGAACAGCTCGCTGGAAAACGAGTGTTTGGTACTTATTTTAGAGTAGGATTTTACGGAACTAGATTTGGCGATCTAAATGGCGAAGAATTTATATATAAGGAGCCTACCTTGACTAAATTGCCAGAAATATTTTCGAGATTAGAAAATTTTTACGCTGAAAGATTTGGTGCTGAAAATATAGTTATTATTAAGGATTCAAATCCTGTCGATCCCACTAAATTGGAATCTGACAAAGCATTTGTACAAATTACTTATGTAGAGCCATACTTTGAGTCGCATGAGTTGAGACATCGGCCAACAGTTTTCCACAAAAACTTCAACATAAGTGAGTTGTACTTTTATTTTACCATCTCTTATTCTTATTTCTTTTTCGCACTCTAATACTTATTTATAAACCTTGTAATATCTTGTAATATTTTAACCACGCGTTGGCGTAACCATTAACATATTATTTCATCCCTCATCTCAATTACCCCACCTACCCAACGTACCTGCGGTACAAAAATTATTCCCATAAATCAATAATTGGCGCAATTCCTTTTTATCACATTATTGTTTTTTCATCAAAAACCAAAAAAAACAATCGGATGATCACTGCCTCATCACGCTATAGTTTTTTCAATTGTCCTATAGTTGTCATTTTTCCACTTTTTATGAAAATAAAATAAGATAAATATTTAAAGGGCGTTTTATATACGCAACTCCGTTTACACCTGGAGGTAAAGCACACGGTGAATTACGCGAACAATGTAAGCGTAAAACGATATTAACGGTGTCAACCCACTTTCCATATCTGAAAACGAGGATACGAGTTGTAGCTAGAAAACAAATTCTTCTCAGCCCCATCGAAGTAGCGATCGAGGATATTCAGAAAAAAACTGCCGAGGTAATGAATTTGTTTGTTTCTATTTTTTTTTCCTTTCGCCTATTCCTTAGAAAAGGCGATGTATGATAAATCGCGTCTAAAGCTTGCAGCAGCGACGATGCAAGAACCGCCTGATGCGAAAATGTTACAAATGGTGCTACAAGGTTGTATTGGTACAACCGTGAATCAAGGACCGGCGGAGGTGGCCAATGTCTTTCTGTCCGGCCTGAAGGAACAAAATCTACAGCCTTCCAAGTTGCAGCATAAGCTCCGCTTGTGCTTCAAAGACTTTTCGAAAAAGTGTCTTGACGCGCTGAGGAAAAACAAAAATTTGATTGGACCAGATCAGCGAGATTACCAACGGGAATTGGAAAGAAATTATCAGAGACTGACCGAGAGACTTGCTCCACTGATTGCGTGGAGGTACAGTGCTTTCATATAGACGTCAAACTTGATTGATCAAAAAAAAAAAAAAAAAAAAAGAAAATCGTTCAAAATAACAATTCATTTGTCTTTTAGCGGTCCATCCTCGACAGCGACGCCAGTGCCAGCGGTTACGAAATCGGTGTCTCCCCTCTGGTAACCGAAAGAACTTGTCACACTAGTGATACATGCCAAAGAGCAAAGTTTGATTAGCTATTGTTTTCACACATGGCTAATCAAAACTCCGACACGTTACTTTAGCTTAAGTCTGTCTATAATGTATTTATTAAGTGCGCGTATGTGACTTCGTGTATTTATATCTGTGATTCATGTCGACTTATCATGTAGTTTTATTTATGACTCTGTTTTTTTTTTTTATTTTTATTTTTATTTTTTTTTTATACTCATTTTTGCATACCTAAACATCACTAAACGAATAACGGCAAATAATAATTTTTGTATTGAAAAAATGCTAATAAATTTTTTTAAAAACACTTTTACCAATTCTGTCGTCAACTGCTATTGGTTTTGTTGTTTCTACCCT